TATCTCACTGGGTCTCAGTTTTCTTAATAATAAAAGGATGTTGCATCTTTTTTGCAGGTTGTTATGTAGGTTAAATAAAGTAATGCACATAAAATTTCTAAGTTACTGTAGTGGCTTAATAACATGTGGTAGCTGCTATTACAACTTTCCCTCTTCATGAGCTTACTGTTTGCAATATTGCTGTCATGGACAGCTGATATTGTATGATTTTAGCCATGAGAGTTGGAGAACTGATTTTTATTTTAGTTTTACAGATTGATCATGCTCTAGCTAAAATTTCAGTATGCATGCTTTTGTATTTTTAGCCCATATCTCTTATGTGAAATCAGCTAGATGTAAACCCAGGCATTTCTAATATCCTTAAATATTCATTAACAGAAATACCCATTTGAAGCACAGCTTGGATGAAGTAGCTAAACCTTATACTTTTTCTCTATCATGTCTGCACTTTCCACAGTGGAGCCGATAAATGCTCTAATGAGACATGATCTGGAACAAAATATACCTCAGTGATAAACCACCTTCTTGTTCTAGAGTCAAGATCAAAGACATCAAGGTTTACTAGAAAGTTATATTGATAAGAGTATCAGGGAAATTTAAATAAACATACTATTATTTTACTGGCATGCCCACAGGCAAAATACAGCGTCGGAAATAGAATTCTAAATTTCTTATACAAGAGAATATTAACAGTCATTGGGTTTAATCTTAATAGAAGAGTATTTTGGTACACACACACACACACACACACACACACTCTCACACACATTTGAGGCTGTCTGGAAAATATCCAGGCATGTAACCATGTAACTGTATTTTCGGGACAGCCTTCATATATAGATGTGTGTGTTTGTGTGTGTGTGTGTGTGTGTGTGTGTGTGTATGTATAAATATAGTGTCATATAACAAATATATTAAAACTTAAGAAAATGAAATACCTTCTGGTTTAGGGCCTATTAATTGCTCAATGTTTTATTAAATCATGATTTTATAAATCCCTGTTTATTTTGTTATATAAATAAAAGTTGGAAGTCACATTTCATATGCATGTATTCTTCACATTTAATAAAAAATGTAATGTACTAAAATGTATTTTAATGCATCTCATTAAAAGGCACTTTGCAATCATCACAGGTTCGTGTAGTTGAACAAGTTATGTGTGAAAATTTTGGTCAATCTTAGTTGTTGTTTGGTTTGGAAGGAGAAGCTCACACTGTCACTGGGAGCCAAATATGAAAGTTTAATATAGGGTTTTAGAGTCCAAATAAAATTCTTAAACTTCCACAATTGCCTTGCTTCAGATAGCTTATGGAAGCAAATGTTAGAATTGTACTGTAGCTGACATTTCTCATGTATATAGCAGGCAGCATGTATTTTCTAATGGATTCCTTTAGTACACTATTAACATGTTAAAAATTTTATTTGCATATTTATTTCCTTTCATCATACTTCCTTCTATCTGCCTAATTCCTGTTTGTCCTTGAATCTCTTCAGTAAACATTTTGTATATATTCCTTTGATTTGTTTAAGACAGAGAGAGAGTTACTGTGCAAGAAGAGGGGAAAGTATGAGAAAATGAGAAAGAATGGTAATTTTTAAAGCCAAAATGTATATTTTGTGATGATTCAAAATATATCAATGTATATTTATATAACTTATTAATGACTTTATAAGCTATTTTATTGATATAACAACTCAAGCAAAATAATTCATTAATATAAGGTGTATGTGAGTGTGTGTGTATTTGTGTGTTATGTTCTAATAAGTAATATGTAAGTTGGTTGGATTAGCACATGTTGAAACTTAGTGGATTTTATTTTTTTACACTAGAATTTCCTGAGAATAAGATGAGGATTTTTGTTTCGTTCTGTAGCCCCACATTTCTGAAGCTATATGTTCTGTGTATCAGAAAAAATCCTCCGCTTGGACCTGTGAGAACATTTATGAAAGAAAATAGACACATAGCTTTCTTCTCTTTCTAAAAGTTTTAATCTTATTTGTTTATTCTCTTCTTGACATATGGTCATCTCAATATGGCAAAACTTTAGCATGTGTTACATCATGAATATAAATGATTTTTAAATCACTCAATTCAGCCTGGACCTACATACCCCAGAGTTTTAATTCCTTTTAAGACAATTTGGTCTATGACATGCTGAAAGAAAAACAAAGTCTCCATGCTGAAATCTCCCCCCAAAATTTAGTGCATTTGGTACTGAATTATGTTTCCATAAATGAGGCTTTCAGTATGGATACAGGTCCCTCTATAACTTTATTTTGTTTTCATTATTTATTTATTTTTGGTTGTGCAATATTCTTTCTTTATACTCATTAATGAGAAACAGAATGACAACATTAAGAAAAAAAGTCCAAAAATCAAATACTACTTTGTGACATAGTGATTTTATTCTTTTAGCAATAAATTTTATAAAGAAATTTATTAGTTATTATCAGTGCCATTTTTCCATTTATTTTAGTCATTTTAGAAACTCCAAAAGCAAATATAGTATACTAAAAGAATAACCATGATTTATTTTTAACAGAAATTTGTCTTAAGATACATCCAAGGATTTTGCAAGAATAATAAGTGTATGAATTGAGATACATCTCATATTGTTATTAAGTTAAAATTTGAAAAACAGTTATGGTAAATAAATTACAGAGTCCAAAACCGTGACAATCAGGTAATATGTATTTTGGGAAAAAAACAAAAATAAAAACAAAACAGGATACTTGCTAGAAGAAACGAGATAAAATGATTTTGTTTGAAAAGGCTTCCCCAAGCAAAAAGTTGAAATGTAAGTCTAACTTATACCATTTATTAGTCATCTGAAAAAATTTTAAGTTAAATAATTTTAAAATTGTTTTCCTCATTTAAATTTAACTATGATGCAAGTGTGATTTCTCCAATTTTAAAAATTGTGAACGTTAAAGAAAGACAATTCAGGTACTTGGTAGCAAATCTAGGACTAGTAGTTGTGCGCCTTCCACTGTAATGTCTTCAAATTTAAATATTTCTATATTCATTCATCTTTTTGAACTTTAAGATCATGTCATATGAGAACAAGTGGTAGAAAATTCAATTGAAAGTTAATTGGAAAACAAAACCACTTTAATTGGAAGGGTTTTTTAACATGATAAACTTAGCCAAGAAATGAATGAAGTTATTTCTTCCTTTTCCTTATCCAGTAAAATTCATCCACTTGAGCCCAACTTCTTCATCCCTGCCTATCCTATTACTAACAAGGAAATCGTTATGACTTAAGAACCGTACAAGGATATGATTGGATGGACTCTTTTTTCACAGGATATTTCTTTTATAATCAATCAATAAAAACTGAAATGGAGGGGTTGTCATCAGATTTGGTTACATACACACTTTATTTGAAGAACAAGACTGAAGTCACCATGTTTATATTGATGGGCTTCACGGACGATTTTGAGCTGCAGGTCTTCCTATTTTTATTGTTTTTAGCAATCTATCTTTTTACTCTGATAGGAAATTTGGGACTGGTTGTATTGGTCATTGGAGACTCCCGACTCCACAACCCTATGTACTACTTTCTGAGTGTTTTATCATTCCTGGATGCCTGCTATTCTACAGTTGTCACCCCCAAAATGCTGGCCAATTTCCTGGCAGAGGATAAAGCCATTTCATTTCTTGGATGTGCAACACAGATGCTCCTGTTTGTTACTTTAGGGACCACAGAATGCTTTCTCTTGGCGGCAATGGCTTATGATCGCTATGTAGCCATTTACAACCCTCTCCTGTATGCAGTGAGCATGTCACCCAGCGTCTATGTGCCACTCATCATTGCCTCCTATGGTGGTGGAATTCTACATGCTACTATACATACGGTGGCTACTTTTAGCCTCTCCTTCTGTGGATCCAATGAAATCAGACATGTCTTTTGTGATATCCCTCCTCTTCTCGCTATTTCCTGTTCTGACACTCACACAAACCAGCTGCTTCTCTTCTACTTTGTGGGCTCTATTGAGATAGTCACCATTCTGATTGTCCTAGTCTCCTATAGTTTCATTGTGTTGGCAATTCTGAAAATGCATTCTGCAGAAGGGAGACAAAAAGTGTTCTCTACATGTGGCTCTCACCTAACTGGAGTGACAATTTACCATGGGACAATCCTCTTCAGTTATATGAGACCAAGTTCCAGCTACGCTTCAGACCGTGACATGATAGTATCGATATTTTACACCATTGTGATTCCCATGCTGAATCCCATCATCTACAGTTTGAGGAACAAAGATGTAAAAGAGGCCATGAAAAGACTTTTGAGAGAAATTGGTTCATAATTAAAGCATATTTTTAGAATTGAGTAAACTTGAAAAAAATGTTGAGTGTCAGTTTATATCTCTATGGTGGTGAACTAGGAAAGAAAATATCTTCGTTTTAGTTAACAGTGCTTATATATTCTAGAACATTTCCAAATAAAGCAATAATTAGTCCACCAATCTGGCATTTTTCAAATTTAGATAAATTGTATCACCTATATGCTGATTATCTTATTCAAAGAGATCCATATCAAATATTGTTTGACATAAATATATTGTTTGTGCTAGTAGTTGTGTAACTGAGTTTCACTTACTAGAAGGTTAGAACCTCATAACTAGAGGTTATGTCCTCAGGATCCTCTTGTTGATACATGTGCACATTGCTCATGGAATGGCTTCATCATTCATTTTGGAGTTACTTCTCCATTTTAGAATCCCTAAGAAAAAATTTCCAAATATTACCTTATTCTCCCTAAATGTGCCCTTACATGCCAAGATCCATCCAAGCTTCTGAATATGCCTTTTATTGTGTTTATTTCTATATCACAAATTTTTCTTCTGCTATTAAATTCTTTCCTTGCTGCTTTTCAACCACAAAAATTGATTTCATCTGTTCTGAAAGTACCAATAATATACTGATACTAGATGTTAATATTTATTGAGAGTGTTCTTAGGGCTCAGGAAACCAATAAAACTATAGCCTAGAAAGAAATTAATGAGTGCGTGTGTATACACACACACATACTTTTTGTACGTAACTACGCATATAAAAATTATAACTTCTCTAAGATCTGAAAAACTAACAAATTTGGGGGGATTCCTCTGATGCTAGGTCTTTGCTCAGTTCTAGCCCTGCCTTTGTCCTCTATCTTCCTTATCTATAATCTGATAAATGACCTTACTTTGTCATTGTTCCTCAACATTGACACCTAATTAGGAAGCACACAGAATGGAAACAATTTTACTTTACCTGTACTCACATCGGATTGTACTTTATTCTACTTTATGTAATTTTGTTTCAATATTTCTTTATTTGAAGAATTATTAGGAGTATAAATTAATTTTTCTTTCCATGATACACACTCTCTTCCCTCCAAGCATATTTTTTTCTGTGAACTCACCAGAAAATGATCCCATCAAACATAGTAACCAAATTGATAATTTAAGACAACAGTTTCTAATGTTGCATGATGCATTATGCAAAGAGAACTCAACTAACTCTATTGGGACAAGCAAATGGTTGCAGGCAAATCTATACTCAAAATTTCTTAAAAAAAAAAAATAAAAACATTTTGAGAGACAAAACACTGACTACACTGTAGACA